TCTCCACACACATGAACATTATGAACATACATAACATATAAGATTTGCTGAATTCAGTATACTACAGTATACTATAATATATTAATTTATTTACAAATAAATAAATAAATGAATATAGGCCAATACTGTAAATATAAATGAATTCTGCTCTATAGTCACCTGGTCGGTGACCCCCCTCTCTTTTTGTCTGGAGTAATACTCTTTAATTGCAAATTTCAATTTGTTAGTGTAGGCCTTTTCTGTATGAATTTTTGTTAATTGTTTAATTCTCTGTTTTTAATTTTGTTTGTTCTTTTAATATGAACATTTCGGTGTGTGCCACCGATATAAAGGTGTAATTTCCAATAGTATTCTCTACACACTTTTCTTGTTGCAAAACAATGACTAAGTAGGCCTACAATACGTTCCTGGTTATTCATGTTTCTAAAATTTAACTCTAATTCGTATTTCAGATCAAAATACAATAGTTTTATCATGGTTTAAAATGCTCTGCATGAATAAACTTCTATAAAACAATATGATGTTCATTTTGATCCTTTAATTCCATAGGAATGTTACTTGATTTATACATAATTATTTGAGAGCAAACTGGCAGAGGTAACATAAGATACCGTAGCCATTTATATTGTGTGGTTCTTCCAGGGACGAAGCCCCTGGACCCTAACCGGGCGCCCTTCGTGGCCCCCTGGCCCCCAGCATTTGGTTTCTCGTTTCGATCAGAACACTTGTACCCCCACATAATAGCACGGACCCACACCGCCCCCTCCCCCCTAGAAATATTCTGGCGCGCCACTGAACCAGACAGAGGTTTTATTAGGCTGACTGTCTTTTTCAACAGTATCGTACAATTCACTGTTAAATTAATCTGATTTTTTGTCTTTATCGGATAATTGTGGTATATTGTGATACAATCAATTTCTATATTGGGGTTTCATCTTTATTACGATGTCAATAGATCTTTGTACATGCTGATGCGAAATGCTTTATTTTAATGATTCCGGGCCCCCCACTTTTTGGCGAAAAATATATAATGTCTGGAGATTTTTGTATGGCTGCTGAGAAAGTTTACCTTACCGTTTTCATGAGGGGGAAAACATTGAATTTTGAAGAACAAAGTCATTAGATCGACACCTAGCTCAAAAGTCGAGAAAGGTCATATTCCGCCATCTAGAAATCAAAATTTTCCCGGGGGAGGAATGTTGACCCCACCACCTAGATTTGATTCTAGATCTGCATGATTCATATTCCCATTCATCTTATAAGCAGTGGCGTAAAAGGCGGTGGCCAGGGGGGCAGACTGTTCCCCCCCCCCGACGGTTTTTACCGGGCTGACCAAGCCGTCGTACCGGGCTGGGTAAGAAGAGAAAAGAAAGATGAGAGAGGGAGGGAAAGAGATAGAAGGGGAAAGAAAAAGAAAGGAAAAAGGAAAAGAAAAAGAGAAGAGAAAAATAAAGACAAGAATAAAAAGGAAGATATAATGAACAGATATCACAATACCCCGGCCTGCAACCCCTTCTCCATTTCAAAAAGTGTCCATATCGCATTTGATCTAAGCCGCCAGGTATTCTCCGCAGTGGTGTAACCACCGGGGAACAAGGGGAAAATATCCATCTGTGGAAAATCTTTCCCCATTGAATGCCCTTTTCACCCGGGAAAGTGCCTGAAAATCTCAAATTTCAAATCCAATATTTTGTTGAAGTAGGCCAATTTCCTCTAAAAATTGCACATTTTAGGGAGTTTTGATCAATTCCGACGAAATTAGAAAACAACATTTTTTAATATTAAAGCTTGTGCTTGCTCTCCTTTGCCTTATAAATTATAACACATAGTCCCAAACTCAAGAAAGAAAATTTAAGGATAGATCGTTTATAAAAGAAGGGCCTCAATGTGTAATGATGTTGAAAGAATATGTTTGTAATAAATAAATCCATAAGGAAAATGCTTATATTCAGTTCAAAAAAACGAGTGTGGCCATATATAACATAAGAGCATCTCTTGTTGAGGTAGGCCAATTTCCTCTAAAGATTGCACATTTTAGGGAGTTTTGATCAATTCCGACGAAATTAGAATTTAAAAAACCAAAATTTTTCGCGCGCTTCGCGCGCATTTTTTAATGTTAAAGCTTGTGCTTGCTCTCCTTTGCCTTCTAAGTTATAACACATAGTCCCAAACTCAAGAAAGAAAAATTAAGGTAGATCGTTTTACCTAAAAAAGAAGGGCCTCAATGTGTAATGATGTTGAAAGAATATGTTTGTAATAAATAAAGCCATAAGGAAAATGCTTATATTCAGTTTAAAAGAACGAGTGTGGCCATATATAACATAAGAGCATTTCTTGTTGAGGTAGGCCAATTTCCTCTAAAAATTGCACATTTAGGGAGTTTTGATCAATTGCGACGAAATTAGAATTAACAACACAAACATTTTTCGCGCGCATTTGTTAGGGTTAAGGCTTGTGCTTGCCCTCCTTTTCCTTCTAAGTTATATAAAAACATAATAGTCCCAAACTTGAGAAAGAAAAATTAAGATAGATCGTTTTACCTAAAAGAAGGGCCTCAATGTGTAATGATGGTGAAAGAATAGGCCTATGATTGTAATAAATAAAACCACGATGAAAATGCTTATATTTAGTTTCAAACACACGTGTGTACCCTATATTAATATGTCGTATTGTTTTCTATGTGGGGGGGGGGGGTGGGGTATCACATCAAGTCATAAATTACTAACCGGGAAAATTATTACCTTTGCCGCCACCCCCCTGACCCAAGACCCCTGTTACGCGCCTGCTTATAAGTGGGCCCCCCACTTTGAAAAACGTTCCGCCGGCCCTGGTCGTTAAAATGGCCCCGGAATAATTATGGCCCCGGAAAAATGGCCCCAAATGTTTGGCTATTCCCTTGAGCAAGGCACGTTACCTGCATTGCTTTTGCTTCTCTCCACTAACAGGAGCATAAGTACCTGTAGTATATAGGGATGCTAATTCGCTGATTAGCTGCTGCTGCAATAATGTGAAGCAGAGGCCATACTATGCGCATATAGGCTAAGTCTCTATTATTATTACATGAGGTAATTTAATACCTCCATAATATTAGATGATCGCCAAAGGTTTATTAATTTTCGTTAGATATTATCATTGTTAATAGGCCTATCAATATCTTTAGGCCTGTGGATAGACCGGGCCGCGCTAGGATTCGACCGACGGGAGGTCTTATACACATCTAGATGTGTATAAGAGACAGGGTAGTATGGATTCTTGTGACGAGAGAAAAGTTGGCGTGGTAGGCCGTCCCCAGTCTCAGAAAATATGGCATTAGGGGTTTCAATGCTTTTATTTAATCGATTTTAGAGTGTTTAGGTAGATATGCCTGTCAGCCTCCGACGAATAGTGGTTTTTCTCACCGGGGGGGGGGGGGCTGTTCCCCTCCCCTTCACCCGCTTGAGCCACCCGCTGTGGATAAAGCTCTGGACCTAGTTTATAGTGCAGTATTTTATAGTAGATATTTATTAATTTCTTATTGTTATCAATTAGTAGGCTATTAATTGTTATTAATCCCTTATCAAAATTAACCACGGACTCAAGGAAGAACAACATTTATAATTCTTTTTGGTATTGTATTTTCTATGTTGTATTTGGGTTTTAACCGTGTATAAATATAGATTATGGGCCTATTTCGGAATGTCACACTGTGGACGTAGAGTGTCTGTTTGGTAGGCCTATATATAGAGCATTAATACCAGTTATTATGGAGCGCCACAATGGCAAATTTGATAGCTCAAAATGCACATGGAAAGGTGGTACACTGAGGTCCGGGGATAATCTGAATTGGAACTTACATCACACACTGTATATTCAATAGCCAGTCAACGACTTGTCCTTCCATGGAAGCTTAATGATTAATGTTGGACAAGGAAGTATACACTAATTCTTTTCACAGTGTTGTCAAATCAGTTTTATGTTTTCGATTTTTGCCTGGTTAGGTTACCGAGTGTACAAAAATACAAGAAAAATAATAACAAATAACGAAGACAATTATATAGTAGCAAGGAAAATCATTGGCAGAGAGAGGTGTTGATGAGAGCATAGGCCTAACATCTTTGGAATAGACTGTAAAAAAGCAAATTATTACAGGAAACATTCATCCACGACATTAAGTTTAATTGTCAGCACATTGTAAAAAATAGATTTAAAAACTAATTGTTGCCATTGTCCAGGCCATCTATATAATTATATATTCCAGGATGTCACAACATTAATAATACCGATAATCTTCTATTTTTGATCCATTTTTATAGCAATAAACTCGTTTAGGTCTACATCCTAGGAGTACAACTCATTTAGATCTTCTTCACTGACTTTAGGCCCAGTATCTTGAATGTAAGTATTTTTTGCACTTTAATATTTATCTTTCAATTAATTATTTAATTTGTCCGTATTTTGTGTACATGTACGGCCATTTCTAAAATACGGATTAGGTTCTCAGTGTATGATACCAACAAATAATAATAATTAAAAAAAAAAAAAAAAAAAATAATAATAATAATAATATTAATAATATTAATAATAATAATAATAATAATAATAATAATAATATCATAATATTATATTAATAGTAATAATATTATAATAATTTGATAAATTTAGGCCTATTTTTTTTATGCTATTTTGACCTGAATCCGCAGAATTCGCATTTTAGAAATGGCGGTTATGTACTGTATAACAATTAATGGGGAAATCTTGATACTTATATTATTTTTGGAATGTCACTCGCAGTACACTGTGTCCGTATATTGGTTATCATATTATTGAATGCCAAAAGGGCAACTTTCAAGCACAATCGAGTCCGCTTGAGAGCTGAGTGGAAGATTCAATCCACGGTGTCATTCCGAAATGTACTAAAACTTACCAGTAGCGACTGCAATATGCTATAATACGGTCTGTGCCCTTTTGGCGTTCCATATTTAGAAACTTCAGGCTAGTCATCAAAAAGAGGAATAATCGAATTGGCTTGCCATTCAAAGTTGCAATTTGGTCGGTGGAAGGTGTGTAGGCCTATGTCTTTGGAAGTAAAAAATAACAACCCGAGTTGACGTTATGGTTTAGGCCCACACAGTCATTTGTACAACTAGTTCGTGCTATCATAGCCTACAGCTCATCCGTCTGGCTAAGGTTTCGCAGTGAAGATAATAAATAGCAAGGTAAGGTAGCCAGACTAGGGCCAGCCCTCCCTGGCCCTGTCCTCCTATCTATGCCCCTTCTGTTCTGGCCTGAGTTACCCACAGGATCAGGCCTAGCATAGCCAGGCTAAGTTAAGCCCGTGTTCTTTCGCGCCAAAAAAAATAAATAAATTAATAAAATTGCCATTGCCTAGGCCATAATGTGCTAGGGCACCCTGTTTAGGGTTAGGGGGCTAGAAGAAGATATTCGACCTCAGCTGCATACATACTAACTCCTGCTAGCAAGAGATGGTTCTTCCTAGCTAGGCCTAGGCCTAGGCTAGCCTAGAAGGAGTTGGAAGGAAGCTCGAATGCTGGTCACTTCGGCCCAAAACCAAATCGGCCAAACCAATTCAGCCCAAACCATCTCGGACCAAAATTAACTGGCCCCATACAACACTTCGGTCCAAAACCAACTTGGCCCAAACCACCTCGGCCCAAAACCACCAAACTTGGCCCAAACCACCTCGGACCAAAACCAACTAGGCCCAGACGACAACTCTATAAAATATATCTCTATGATATTGAATTATTCAAGACGGCAGGTTAAAATAGTTGGGTGGTCCCTAGTGTTGTGAAATGAATAGTTGACTTTTATTGTCAGTTTTTGCAAGGTGCTACGTTCATCGAAAAACATATTGGGTGTTGCCAATTAATTTGAAACAGTTTAACAAAAAATATTTACCAGAAAAAACAGTAGTGCGATTTATTTAAAAAAAAAACAAACCCAAAAAACATGGCTGGGGCAGCGAGCCTAAAATAACAGTAGGTCTACTGTTTACTTAAATCTTTTCGTCATGAATTAGAAAAAAAAAACTTTGTATGTAGCCAGTAGACGACGAGAGTTGCTGGTACCGGGTTACCAGGTAGCACAGACACGAAGGGACCCTTAGGAGCAAAGAAAGTTATTGATGAGTTTCTAGTCCACATATCAAGCGCCCTGAGCATCTTACATTAGATGGATATGTGCGCTATATAAAACTACACTATTATTATTATTATTAGTTTGAATTAAATGTACCTGAATAAATCCGTATATTCGTGTATTTTGTTTTGCTTTATATTCATACAAATATACATTATTTTATAAATGTATGTTAAATTCTTTTAAAAAGTAAGTAATGAGACTAGTAATAATTCGGATAATATAAAAAATAAGTATTAGTAATAGGCCTAAATAAAAAACAATATTTAGCCTTTATAATTGTGATATTAATAATTATAATAATAATAATACAATAAATATAATAATATAATAAATATAAAATATATAATTTGGATAATATAAAAATATATAGTAAGAATACTTATAATAAAAAACAATATTAGACCTATAAATAATATTAATATTATAATACTAAAATAATAATAATTGTCATTTGAGTAATGGGTAATCGCAATCGCTATTCATCTGGGTAATTCCATATCATTTGGGTAGTTGTCTTCTGATCTGAGCTGGTTTTGGTCCGAGTTGGTTTTGGGTCGAAGTGTCGCCTGGGTTCGATTTGGTTTTGGTCCGAGTTGGTTTGGGCCGAAGTGACCTGCTACCCTCCCATTGTACCACTTTTCAAGAAAGGGAGGGAGTAGAGTTGATGTCAATAATTTAATTATCGACCAGCCAGTTTGACTGTAGTAAGGTTATGGAATCATAATTTGAGATGTAGGCCTAGGTATATAGGCCTAAGCCTAGTTAGGAAGACACCAAACGGTTGTGGTAAAAGGGACTTTTTCTGGCTTGGTAATTAATCATTACTTTATGACGATGATCTTACATTGTTTGGTGATACTGTATGTGGTTTACTAAATTATTTAAATAATTATCTAGTTATTGTGAGATATGGGATTAAAATGTAAACATTACCATTCCCTTTTTTTAAAAAAGGGAACAAACTTAAGCAATTTGAAAAATGATCCCAAGTCATAGTATTTTGGAGTTACAAGTTACAATTATCCTGTAATTAAAATGGTAAATAGAATAAGGCCAAAGAAAATAATTTTCAACAAGCGAATAAAGCCTTACTTGCATTGAAGAGTAAAATTCAGGGATGTTTCATTGGTAATTTACCAATTCATATTTTTGGTGTTAAAATTCTACTTTATGTCAGTGAAATGTGGGGTTTGGATGATAGTTTATCTTACTACTTTGCTGAAAATGTCTAAATTATACAGTACTGTATGTCTAAAAAAAGTGAACACGCCTGACCATGTTAGCATCATAATCTGCTAGTATTTTATTGCAGTGACCAAGAGTCATAATATTCTGGAATAAACCAATTTTTTGTCATACTTTCAGAATAAGTGGTTCTGAAACATGCTTTAATTAAATTTTAACAGTCAAATTAATGTAAAAGGAACCATTAAAAAAAAAAAAATTGCCCATGAATGCACTTATCATCTACAAAATATCACTAATGTTATTTGTGCCATGTATATTTCTAGGCTCTAAATAAGTCGGGACTACCGTGACTGTAGATGATTTGTGGAGGGTCAAATTTGCAGAAATCAGCACGCTACAATTAATTTATGATTTGTGGTGAATTCTGGATGATGTAACTTTGTAAGTCAGGCCTATTGTTTGTCCCGTACTGTGTTAAAATATTATTTAGAAGTGCATTAATTAATTGTTATTTTAATTGTATTTAAAAAATGTATTAGATGAAGTTAACAAATCGGCAGAGAATGCAAAGATATAAAAAAAAGCTGAAGAGGAATCCTGAGGCCCGTGCCAAGTACCTCGCGAATGACCGTAACCGGCAAAAGACAAAGAAGGACAAATTTACTTCCAAGCAGAGTGAAAATCATAGGAAAGCGAATGACTCCTCTGTAAAACTTTACAGAAAAAATCAGAAGAAACGCAAAGAACTGCTAAAATACTGGCAAGAAAAATCGTTAGGAAAATCAAGACAATATAAACTTCTTCTCAAATTGCATGCTCGCAAGTGCAAAGTGCAGCGGTGCTATTTTCCACAGTGTAAGGAGATCAGAAGAGTTTATAGCCACATAGCACACTGTCAGGTTGCCAGAAATTGTACAAGTAAGAGAAATTTATATTATTATTGTTTTGATAGTTATTGTTTACAGTACCTGTCATTTGTCCCTGGTTCTTGATAACATTTATTATTTTAATTAAAAAACCGTAGTGTCCAGGGACCTTTACCACTGTGTGTGTTAAGCTGGTTAAGTTCGCATACAAGATCACTCAATTCCATCCTGGCAAAAAATGTAAAATTTTGTCACAACTAAGGATATTTCCACTCTGAAGCCTCATTAACTTGGAGCGTGGAGGCCCCCTGTTTTCAATTATTGTGTAAGAATGTAGTGTACTTTTGTTGAAATTCTTAATTTTATTGTTTTTATAGAACCCGACTGTAACTCAACTCAAAATGTATTGTCACATTGGAAGCATTGCGATATTACAAACTGTCTCTTGTGTTTGCCATTAAAAATGTCATCGGACAAAATACAAATGCAGGGTGAGTCTTATTTCTAAACTTTGACATTACCCAACCATGTGTGGTGGGCAGCATTGTGAATATATTTTTTAATATGCTTTGTGTAGCTTTTATACACCCAGTCTGAATGGAAATGTAGATCAAATCAAACTTAATCTTATGAATATATAAATCATTCAAAATGTGTACATTGTTATAAAAAGCACCTTTATACACCACTTTCGACTGCGCTCAGTGCATAAGCATATGACTCTGGCAAATATTTGTTTTTTACACCCACTATCATACTAAGCTGTGATGATGTCATCCATGTTGACTAATTCGGTCTATTGTTGATTTTGTTCGGTGTCTTTTGATGTTGATAATAATAATACGTTATATACAGTAGTAATACCATAATACAGCTCCGGGGAATACAGCATTGTCTACATTCAGTATCAGATTTTTCACATTTTGATTTCTATTTACCAATGATTTTAATATTATATACAAACTAATTAAGTACTACTACAATATTTAATAATAATATAATAATATATATCATTTTGTCCTTTCTGATTATAATTGTCCATCAGTATAACTATTTGTTAGGCAGAATGGTTCTAAACTATGAATTAAAAGAAGATGTGTTACTGTATTAAGTACTAAAATAAGAGTTTTGAACTTTAGTCAACCTAATGAGTGTATATTTATATTGCATTTTGGTAATTATTTACATTTACATTAAAGTAAATATGATTTATGAATCATTCATAATAATACTAATAGGCCTAGGCTGTTACATAACTTTGAGTGAATAAAAATTGAAATAAAATATTTTGCTAGAAATCATAACTTATGTTAAAGCATGATTCTTAAATTCAATAGTGTTGATTGTTTTTTTTACACATTGTATTTTACTTCCTTGAATTCTATAGCAATAGTATAATAAAACGATTGTACCTGTATAAATTCCTGGCCTCCACTAGGCTTTGTTTGTATGTTTCATCTTTCATGAGAAACCATACAATATTACATCCTTGAATAGAAAGCAAAATGATTACAAATAATAATAATAATTAGTAATAAAATAATAATAAGATTTATAAAGCACACATATTCATTGTAGTAGTGCTCAAGGTGCTACATACAGACAGAACCAAAAATTACCAATAACCTTAAGAATACATTTAAAAAAGCACCTTACACATCACCACCTTTAATAGGCAATTTGAGGCACAGTGTCGGCCTATTCATAACTCACAGGGGCTTAAGTAATGGGGTAGCTTAACTAAACACACCATAGCTTCAAATTATCCTGAACCAAGTTATACGCTATTTCTGGACAGTGGTAATTTTTTCATGATATTTTAACCATATTGAAATTCATACAAAATTGTGATATTACCATAATGTAATTTGCTTGATATTTGCAGATGTACAGACAGTCTCAGATCTTGCATCTGCACTAAAAAGGCAGTCGTCGCTTTTGAACAATAACAAGTTGTAAGTTTTATTCTAACATAATCTATTTTTAAAAAAGTTTTACCATCTTAAATAAATTGGAAAAACTCTCTTCATTAAGGTAGCCTCACAAAATGAACACCTGACAACGATACATAGTTGGGGATAAAAGTTGAATCTTAACCTGGTGGCATTGATGTGAGTAGATTACTGTTTTTAATGTTGGTATTCTATTGTTAACGTTATGGATTTTTGAAAAAAATGTGTATCTTTGGCTTTCAACATTTCTAGTTTTGGAGGTGGTAAATTGGAGGAAATAGCTTTTTTGAGTCAATGTAGAGATCCTTATCTTTTCCGGGGAAAAGCCGACCATTTTGTCAGTAAACACTTGTTTGACGCCATCAGTTTAACATGCTATTTTATTCCTCAACCACGTATCGTCAACGGTTTAACATTTATTTGAAATTGAATTGAAAATATGATGGAATATATTGGCCAATAAAAAAATTACATTCATTTAGATTTCACAAAACATCACTTTGTAAATAAACATGTATATTGTACACTGAATTAACCAGTCATACGTAGAATATATTCATATCATGACACTCTGCGGTGCGATGTGTTTATTTGTGGTTATGTTTGATTTAAATTACGGGCCCTCTATTTTTACTTTACAGTTTTCAAGAAATTTTTCCCTCTGCCGGCCTTGCAACTGATACGCTTATGGAAAGTCATGAAAAATATGCAAGGGAAGTTGAGAAAGATTTTGAGATGGGTAGCAAGGTAAATCTTAAATCATATTGTGTTATACCAAAGACAATAGGAAAAAATAGACCAGTTCGCAATATACTGGAACTTTGGGTGAAATGCATTGTGGGAGGATGGGGTCCATAGAGGCCAATTTAATTCCATCCACATGGCGGTGTTATATCTTTATAATCAAGGGCAGTTGATTGTTGGATGCTCTGGGTTGTTTGTTTCCTTAATTTCTTTAGTTCGTCCACTCATCAAATAGTCTTCCACTCGCATGAGGGCAGACATTCCATCAGTTTTAATGCAAACTATGTAAAGATCTCATTCTTCTGTTACTTCTGTAAGTTCTTTGGTTACAGAAATTATGGATTTTTCTCTTATTTCTGAATTTAGGTTTTATATCTGGTGTGTGCACTATCAAGGCAAAGATATAAAATGAAAAAAAAAATACCTTTATAACTCATGATATCTCTGACAAGAACTGATTCACCCATACAGTAGAACATTGTTTTTACGTACCTCAGTTATATGAACCCTCAGTTTTATGCGCGCCTCGTACGAACGATGACGTCATCAATAAGCCCAAAAATACTCAAAACAAACGGCCATTTACAGGGCCACCATAATGTAAAAAGAGATTTGTTAGTTTATGTCTGTTTATTATTTCAAAGTATTTGCATTCAATAATAATAATAATTAACATGCTGTTATAATTGTCAGTGCTCAAAATAATTTCTTGCCTACTTAGCTTTGTGTGAATTTTCTACACAAAGTTTACTAAGCTGGGTAGGCATAATTATGCATACGAACTCTAATTTTTTGGCTCACCCAGTGCAGTGCACATGGTTGTAGTTTTCTTAGCTGCCCAAACAACACCGCAGCTCTGTAGTTTCGAATAGTCATAAAGGGATTTTCCCAAGTTATACCTTTGTCGTATAGGTAATCTTACAACATGGACCTATTAATGAGATGGACATACAACGATTTCCAACACAGCAGCTCCGTTGTTTAGAATAGCCATAAAGGGATTTTCCCAAGTTATACCTTTGTCGTATAGGTAATCTTACAACATGGACCTATTAATGAGAAGGACATACAACGATTTCCAGGTAGCGTGACTAATTGGTCTTTAGCCAGTCAGCGATAAGCGGTAAAAGGGAACTTCAAAGTGTTATCTGATCATCTCCTGTTATCGCGAGCGCTTTTGAATTAAATCATCTTTTCTGCCTATAGGACACCCTCTATTGGTAAATATCGTGTGAGTGCAGCAACAAATTTTACTGACGTCATTATCTTGTCACACTAGCCTTTGAAAAAAGTCTCAATGAATATTTTTTAACTCATTTATTGTGCTATTACTGCCATCTCTGAATGCATAATTATGTAATATTTCATCATTTTAAGAAGCAATTAGTACCTCAAAATTTTGAACATAATATTGTATTTTTATTATTTACATTATTTATTTACACAAGCGATTACTATTCCAGCACCATCAGGCAGGTTTCCACATACACTTTTACTTAGGCAATTTTCTTTTTCGCAAGCTTTTTTCCTTAGATTTTAAGGTACTGTTTTGTTTTGTTTTTTCTTTGTACAGTACCTGGATGTACATTTACAATATTATTATTAAGTCCATGGTGACTCTGTAAATCTTTTAGTGCTCCTCCAATTTCCTCTTTGATGTAAACACTTGCAGGCCTTTTGGTTTTTGTTTTTTTTTTTGAAATAAATATACGATTTACTGTATTAAAAAAGGTATGAAATACAAATAATATAACTACTGCATGATATTTTGGTATTGGATTCAACTATAAAATTAAGCTACGACCCCATCAGATGATTACACCTAGGCCTATATTTATCTGCCCTTAAATTAGGACACAAAACAAAAACAGTACATATACTTAATAAATATGGCTACCTGCAGTATTAATCTAGGTTTGTGAAAATAATTTCCAGGCATCAATTATTAACTGGTAAATAAAAAACAAACATACACAAAAGTAGGTATGAAAACTGGAATAAATAAAAAAAATACCAAAATTATTAATACTACTGGTCCATGTTTTAGCCCATTAGGCAAAAAATAAAAAATAAAATTTACAGGGTCCCTTTTTTCAACAGATGGTATGGAATCTGTCTGTTTCTCTGAGCTAGGCTCCTGTAGGTTGCTATGACCCGCTCAAGCCCGGGTCATCGCTAGGAAGACTCTTTCTTTTGACTTCCGTTTGCATACACATTTTATGTTTCTATTATCGATTTCTGCATCGTTGTCACAAAAATTTAAATTGTCCACACTGTATTTCGTATTTTCATGGACCTGGTATTTTCAACAGTTCGATGTGTGTGTGTGTCTCGCGGTGAACCAGGTAGCTGAGCAAAAGCCTAATGCGTATGCCCAGAAGGGCAATAACGTAAGGAATAAAGGTACCAAGTCATCTTTTGAGAGTTTATTCCGATAGTATACTGTACCCCTCTTTTATCTTGTCGGAAAAGATGAATGATCAAATTGCAATACTACGTTGTATGTAATTCGTTGTAGGTGCTTTCAATATGTTTCATGTTTTTTTAGTAAAAACCTACCTATGCCTGCAGACAGTCAATTGTACACTGTAGGCTAGGCTTGCCACAAGCCCCTTTTGGCAATATTCTTACTGGCGCCACCAATGAGAAAATTAATTTAGAGACGGATTGGAAAAAAAGAAATCAAGTATGACGCCAATTAAATTAGGTACGGCGTGCACTAAACACAATAAAGAGTGAGTAGCCCAAAATTAATGATTGGAACCCAGGCTAATGGACCTTCCGCTAAGCCCCGCCCCTTGGTCGTCTTGTGGGACCTTGCTAAGGTCCCACAAGACGACCGTGTAAAAACATAGCAAACACGTGCGTTTGTGGACAAACATGTGTGTTTGTGAGAGGCACGAGTATTCCTAGCGCCGTAAAGATTAGTCAGTTGTTAAGTTTGATTGATACTCCGGAAAGGTCTATTGAAGGCCTATGTAACATCGTTAGTTCCCAACTATGTTGATTGAGTGTTTTGTATGTAATAAGTCAAAGGTCACCACAAATTTAACCCAACCTTGATTTTACTAATCTTTGATTCATGTATGCCAACTGGTACAGTACTGTACGTAAAATCAAGGTTACGCTGTATGTGGCTATGATGATGACATAGTAACACTATGTAATGTCATGTATGGGTGAATCTCAGTTATTTGTCACATTGATTTATTATTAACATTATTATTTTTAACATTACACAGGAAGACTATTTTAATCTTTGGGCTGAAGACATTTACAGCAAAGTTCAAAATGAACCGCCTACACCATCTCAGATGCCTAATTCCAATCTAGATGTGTTGAAGAAGCTTTCTTCACTTACAGTTTCTTCAAAAAGTATGTATAGTTACTTGAATTTTTCTGTTCACAATAATAATTATAGTGCTTAACAGTTACTGTAAAACCAGGAAATTTCGCGCGCATTAAAATTTCGCGAATGGTCCAGATTTGCGAAAATTCTATGTTTCAAAAAAGATCAGTGGAATACTATCTGATCGTCATGAATCTCGAATAAGTTTCACAAATGAGATTTTGGTCATTATAAATCACTAGATTACACCAAAAATTAATTTCAACTTAAGATTATAATGAACAATAAACAGCAAGAACTGTCGGTATTTCAAGGCCTAAACTCACCAATGAGGATGCAATACAGATCTAGGGCCTAGGCCTAAATGGGGAATCACCACAGAATGCAACATGTTTGTGAAAATTTTAAAAATTATATTTTAAATTATTTTGTGAATTTTATTAAATGTGTATAAAAATAGAATGTATTTCAATTATTGAATAAATATTCTGACCTTACATTCTGATGTTGAGCTCAAAAAGTTTGTAAATTCTAGGCCTATTTTAACCTACTCAGCAAGTATGCTGATCAGTGAGGTTCACTGCATGTGACTGCACATGTGCAGTACCACTGCACAGTGTATACTAAGAAGTTCAAATGGAAACTGAAAATTACTCTGATTTGAGATTAATTTTTTGAATAGTTAACCCTTGTTAACCCTAAAATGACTTAGTTTATTATAATCCTCAATCATTCCTCAATTAACATTTGTAGAAATTAGAATTATCGAGTTTTATCCAGTTTATGGAAATTCAAGTTGAAATATACCATACTTTTAAAGCTGGTATAAATGTTTCATTAAATTTGAAACTCTTTTTTTTGTAGAAAATATTATTATGTTTGGTATTTCTTGAAATATATTAAAAATGTATTAGCTTCAGTTTGGAAATGATTGTCTGGCCACAGTGATTAAGTTGTGCGCATTGAGAAAAGAAGGTGCTCTCAATTTCACCATGTGCTCCTGAGCATTTGGTGGCCCATAAAATTTCCTTTTTCCCTTTCCCCCTCCCCACTCAAAAACAAATGGAGAAAAACCACAATTTGTCGGGGAGAAAAAAAACTGATGCTGCCACCGCCACTGTTAACCACACTCAAAATTATCAAATATGAAATGAATATATTATTTTGATATATATAATGAAGAGAAAATTTATGCCTGGAGCTGCCCTTTAAACTAATTTTTGTTTTGCTATTAACATTTGAGAGATAAAAGATTCATTTTGTTTACCACTTACCAAATTTATTTATTTTAATTTATATGAAATTCCATTCAAACCATTCACCAAATAAACTAAATAAATGAAAATTATATTAAGCTAATGTTATGGTTCGGGGATTGCACTGAGATTGATTTGGATCAAGTCAAGATCCCAGCACTCATAGCATGAATCTTGAACCCCAAATTGGTATTGACAAAATGATGAAGCACAACGACTTCTTTTCAAACTTCATTAAGGAATCGCATAATTGTAAAGGAAAACAGCAAACAATGAAAGCATCAAAGAAAACAACAAAGGAAACAACCCTGCAAATATATATAAATGTATATACAGGAATATAAGTATGAATCGCACGACCATGAGCATCAATTTTAAATTGCATAATATAATTGCATGGTGTATTGCAAAACAACTTTAGTAAACGTCAATCAGTGAACAATTCAGTTGCACTGCAAGTTTAATTTAAGCACACACATATTGGCGAAAACACTTCACTATATAAACGCCAATAAGTAAACAATCAAGTGAAACTACACTGGCACCGGCAAAACATTGACCAGTACTTACCCTGCATAGTATTCAATTTGATACATCAGATAGGCCTAAATATAAGTGCTTTAATAGTATACAGTATTTAAAAACACTTTATTAATCTACTTACAATTCTGAAGCAAATTACAACTCAAGCACACCACAAATATATACAAGAAACTATGAAATAATTAAAAGGATAGAATATTCGGTCCACGACACTAAAGTAAAGTAAAAAAAAAAAACTTTTATTAGTTTTTTAATGTTTAAAAAAGACTCCATTTGTAAACAAGTCGAGAGTACTGACTGGCTTGCTAAATAGAATACATGTACGTGGGTGCAAGTTAGCCATTGTTGGGCATGAGTTGACCTACATTTTGGTAAGGGGTTGCCTATGTGTTTGCAAGTTGGCAAGTTAGCTGACACATGTGGAGAGATTTTATTTTATTTCACTGATCTTCTGGATGGTATTCATGAAGCAGATGTGAGTTTGAACAGAATTTAGAAAAACCCCACCAGTTTTTAAGAAGATGACATTGCACAAGTTTAAGGTACCGGTACTCAAAATCAACAGACTACAGTTGATATAGCTGTAAAGTTTATGGAGGCAAACATGCTTACAGCAATTTTAGCACACATAGACATACCTCCTTTTTCATATCTATGACCCGTTTTTGCTTTAAATACTTTCCTAAATGTGAACTCCGACACAAATTCAATGTTCCATCAATATATAATGGCATGAAGAGACATTTAAAATTCATGATGACAGCATGGCTATGCAGTTAACCAGCAATATTGTAATTGAACCATAATAAGCCTTGGAGGTCTCTATGTGCATGAACCAATCTCTGAAGTGTGTGTGAACCGATAACAACAAAGAAAAATGTGTATGTTATGAGTGTCCTGGATAATAGGTGTACCACTACTAGATGAATTTAATGCTCACTAGTAATTTTATAAATTAGGATCTGTTACTGTGGTATCTCCTTGGCCATTCTCTTATTATTATTATTATTATTCCATTCTTTGACAGAATATTTGACTACCAGTGACTAGCATGCCCAGTATAGTATTATGGCTTCAGGGCAATGGCTGCTCTAGGATATATTTTCTGGGGAGGGGGGCTAAGTTGTCCGACAGGTGGGACTTGAGCTCGTAGGTTCGAGCTGGGAGAAGGGGTTGAGGGGGGTTCCCCCTCCCAAATGAGATTAAAAAAAAAAATATCAACCTCTAGATGGCTGAAAATGGCATTCTCAGACTGTGACAGACATGTGTTGGCTTGGTGTGGGCCTATTTTTATATTTTTTTATGGTCTGACTGCCCGACTTGACCTGTCTAGTGGGGGGCTTAAGCCCCCTACCACCCCGCTGGCTCCGCCACTGCTTCAGGGCACGCACTTGTACATTGCATGAAAACACGGATTAAAGTACGAAGATACTCATGGAGGAATTACCTTAATCATGGAATACAACAAGCACCTAAAAACCAGATGATCCACTAATTAGTCTTAAATAAAACAAAAAGACAGTAACTTCAAAAAGATACAGAGACATTTTGAGACTCAACGTTTCGATTTATTTGTTCATTTTCAAGAATATGGTGAGAAAATCTCACCTATCCATATAATATATCCAACAAGCACCTGTTGCTGAATAATGCACTTGTGACAGGCCATTTCATTGTAATGCATAGGCTATGAGTCCTGTAGTATGGAGTATGATTCCAGAATTCTAGATGAGTTATTCAAAATTAAAATATAGAATGACTTGGATAGATTACCAAGTTCGTTTGAATCAAAGTGAGAATTTGAATGTTGACAGAATTAGCTGCAGGTTCATGTATTGGTGCGTAAAATATTAGGTGCCCTGGCCGACGAAGGTAAAACATTCGGGCATTTTCAGGCATTTGCACCCTATGTGAAAGTGGAGAAATTGAAGATGTCAAGCATTTTTTACTAAATTGTCTCGCTTATAATATCGTTAGAAAAAAACAAATCTTGAAAATGACCTTCTACTCTGTAACGATTATGATACATGGACAACTTTTTTCAACAACAAACGATGATATTAAACTTCAATATGTTTTAGGAGGAGATTCAGTTTTTATTTGTGATGAATCTACCTCTATTTTTGATAATTTCTGTAAAAAATACATCATGAATGCATGTGAGAATTACGCTCACAACTAAAAAATTCACAACAATAGTTTACTGTAAATGTATCGTTGCTTATCAAATTGTGTAATGTTAATTATTTTTTTTTTAACCACAAGTGGACTCTACATCGTAGTCTGTATTCCTTAAGTTTAGTAGGTCTACCTTGGTATTATCTTTTTGTTGTAAGACTTTTTCATCTTTAGATTTTATATTTTGTAGGCTAGTTATTTTAAGCATTTACTTTACAGTTGACCTGTAAAGTATTTCTGAGTATGAAATGCGATGTGAAATGTGATCTCATCTAATTTCATATGTTATTTTTCTACCTTTCTTTAATTTTGTAATATTA